ACTGATTCAGTCCAACCCTTTTATTTTATAGATCTGGAAAAAGAGACTCATAGGAGTTAAAGACTTGTCTGAAGTCTCCTAGTCACCCATTTAAGATGAAAAGCCAAATTTCCTATTTCGGACAGGATTAAGTACAGCTGATCTCTCCAGAACCACTGTTCATGTCTCATTAGCATCTGTGATGGTGTCTAGCACCAGCTGAGCAGCTGCAGTATTTAAGAGGAGCAGGGTCAGGCTCAGAAGGGTTTATTGGAAAATAGCGGCTAATAAAACGAACAATCGTATGTGAATATAACTATGGCACCGCAGAGTGTGCTGGAAAATAGCTGTCTTTTATGGAGGTCCATCAACAGTCTGTCTGATCTTGCCTGATTTAGGAGAAAGATTATATTATTGTTCTCACAGCCAATGGCAAACAGAAGCTATTTAGTTTCTTTTCAAGGGACTAGTTGTAACTCTGATCCTCTCCAGTCTAAATTACCCAGTCTTCCTTTACAACTTTTGAGATGTATTATTTGCATCTCCAGCTAACTTGTGATGGAAGTCACTTCCTTCTCTCATGTTAGCAAATCCAGTGTGGGCAGTGAAGGTGGTCTAAGCAGGGAGGTCACAGGGTCCCCATTGCCTAGCTTGGGAGATACTTGGCAAATCTTTAAAGTTTAAAGAAAATGACATTTGATACCTTTAAGACAGCAGTTCTCAACCTGTGGGTCGTGAACTATATTAAAGGGTTGTGGCATTAGGAAGGTTGAGAACCACTGCTTTAAGATAGTAATAGAATTGTGCATTTTAAAAGAGACAGCAGGGCAGCACCTGTGGCTCAAAGGAGGAGGGCCCTGGCCCCATATGCCAGAGGTGGCGGGTTCAAACCCAGCCCTGGCCAAAAACTGCAAAAAAAAAAAAAAAAAAATAGAGACAGCAAACAATTTAATAGCATAATTTTATTATCTGAGATTATCTCTCATTTATCAGAGCAAGAAATTGATGGGAAAAAAATTAGGGTGATGCACTTCTGTAAAAAAATTAGAAATGAACGATAGATATCTGCACCCTATATCCTGTAGAGCAGGACACAGAAATCCTGTTTTTCATTTCACAAACTAACAGAAGAGTAAACTTATGGGGGAAGAACTCATGACCTTTAAATTCAGTTGTACTTAAAACACACTATTTGCAGTAAAATTATTTGATGTGGAAGGAATGTGGTTCAGAATACTGTATGGCAACAAGCAATTTATAATGTGTAGCTCAAGAACCCTTTCTTTTATGAAATATATTGTTGAGAAAGATTGTAGAAGTTGGATGCACAATTCCTGACTCTATCCTTGCCGTCTTCCGATATCATAACACTGAGGCCTCTATTGAGTTATGCAAATGCCCTCAAGGTTTTTACATGTATATATAAAATCCACATATGCACAAAGACCATCTCGCCAGCAAGCTTTAGTTGGCAGACCCTGACTTGTCTCTTGGTGCTTTTTGTTTGTTGTTTTAGGCTCACTGATGGTGAAGAGTCTTTCTGGTCTTCTTATTTTTCACACTTCAGGCAACAATGTGATGACACAGTGTAGAAGGGCTAAGGATTTAAGCATTTGAATTTATGAGGGTGAAGGAGCCTTGGAATTTAAGGCATTGGACTAGTCATGTTTCTGAAACTCTTTGGAAACTAAGATGCTGAACAATTTCACTTATTGACTGTTCATTGACTAGAATGGGTTCCTAGATTGTTAAAATGTCATAGATCTCCGTGTACTCCTTGTCACCATTTCTGGTTGCTCCTTTTGGTAGATGATTTTGGGTAGTATTTTCACACAATTAAAAGCTGACTTATTATGGGATATTGCTAATTAATATATGGTAAACTCTCTTACAGTAGGAGTGGGATGGGGCAGACTTCCCAACCTTAAGAATCTCAGCTGGGAAACTTCCAGAACCCAAGTATGTCATTGCTCCCAGGATGTTCTATCAGACAGTCTCAAGCACATCCTGCCTTCTCTTGCCCACTTCTCACCATAACTTACACTTGTGAAGCTACATAACCTCCTCCACAATCCTCATTCTCTGTGCTAGACTAACAGGAACATGCTGGCATCAAAGGGCAGCAGAGGGGACTCAGATCTGGACACAAGTAATTAGTTAGACAGAGGGATGTGACTGTCACTTTCTCAACTGGGCAAAGCAAGATTTTGTATCTCCCCTTGGCCCTGCAGTTGCTTTCCTGGACTTAGATTTTATTTTCAGCACCTTCTCGTTGTCTGTTTCTTTGATACCCAGGAAGACTTGTGCACAGGTGTGTTTTGGTCACTATAATTTCTTAAGAAGGGTGAGCAGGGAGGGATCAGGGAATTGCTGTGTTCCCAAGGCCTAAATGGCAGCCAAAGATTGCTGGCTGTACATCTGCCCAGCCGCCGTGCTCATGCAGGCACCTTCCCTTCAGCCCCACACTCACTGTTCAAGAACCACACATAAAGACTGGGACTTACCGGTGAAGGGATCTGCATAGTGGACAGAGGGAAAGCTTGCTTTCCTGCTGCTTTTTATTAGAGTTTTGGTTTTGCAAGTCAGAAGAGTCTTGGCTTTTACTAGCAAGCATCTACTAGAAGGTTTCTTAACACTTTTGGGCTTCATTTTCCCATTTGTAAAGTGATGACATTAACACGCATGTTGGTAGCATTGCCATGTTTGATAACTTGCAGAGCATAGGGGCACATGGGAGGGTCTCTATTCATGCTTCTTCCCTTTTCTTTTAATAGAGCATTTGTCCTATTAGACGGGAGAATGCACCCCCCCCCCTTAGCTACCAAGAGTTCATGTGCTGTAATTTTCTTTGAAGCTATTCCCCTTTCACACCTTGATCTCTAAGGGGGTCTGGCCAGTGGTTCTGCCTTCTGGTCTCTTTCCTTTTCAATTACTCACCTGAGATGACTCTTCACTGGAGGAACATGCTGTGTGGACCTACTGAGCAGACATGTACTTCCCAGAGTGGAGGAGCAGAGTTGTTGAGTCCCTTCACTAGGCAGAGAGAAGAGACCTGAGCCACCCTGTGACTCTTAACACCCCAAGGCTGGATGACTGGGGATTACTCTGTGTAGATGAAAAAACCGGCAACATTTCTCTTCAAGCTGCCAGAGTGAGAAGTTCTAATTAGATTATTAACGATTCTATAGAGGTGAGGCCCACAGTTTATTTGTTTTCATCATTAGAACAAGTGTGTTTTGGGTGATGTAGATTTTCTCCCAAAGAATATTTATTAAGGCTATCAGGAAAGACCATGCCAGTGATTGAGCCTCCAAAGCTGCCCCCTGGATGCTAAAAGACAAGAAAGAAAATTTAAGTGGCTGCGAATGAGAATGTGCGATTGACGGGAAGCCAAATTATATACTCGGTTCCACTGTTGGCCTGCAGGCTCTGAAGCAACATTTATTTGTTGTCAGGGATGGAAAACAACTCAGATTCGGGTCCAAGTGATTATTCCACTTTGGCGCTGCTGCCTTTCTGCCAACTGCAATTCCGTTTAGACATAGATTAATTGGCCGGGCAGAGACGGAAGTGGGTGGGGAGAGCAAAAGAGGGAACGACCGCAGTGGAGACCGGGGTTGGGGCCAAGGGAAGGGGCCCCAGGCGGTTGGCAACTCTCTCAGGCCTGTGTGGCTGTAAATGAGACTCCCAAGCTGCTATCGTGGTGCACCATCCACTTCTACTGACGTCAGTGACTCCAGAAAACCTTAAAACTTAAGTCACCTGGAGGCTGTCCCCACGGAGGAAAGCAGACGACAGATACGAGCAGTCTTATCAATCTTTCCTTTGGCCTCCAAAAACCAGTCCGGACCTTTTAATCATATTATTCCTACACGTGTGCTTATGTTTATACGTGTATTTTTGCTAGTCCGTGAATTTTAAAGACAGAGGCGATAAAAACCGCAGCAACTCTTGGGAAGCAGGATTGTGCCACCGCGAACTGAAGGTTATTAACAGATAATTACCAAGAAGGGCTCAGCCCCTTTCTGGAATATTTCCCACCCGCCTTTTTCATTCTAGCTGGTTTCGCTTGTACCGCTTCCCCAGTCTGCCTTTATATTAGTTGACAAATCGATGTCCTCCAATGGGATTCCTTAGAGGCAGGGACTGCGTGGGGCCGGCCCTGTACCCTGCACGGTGCGCAGTGGGCAGGCGGGCAGGGCGGGGGTGGACGCACTCCAGGGAGGCGGCAGCCGAGAGAACCCGCACCCCACTTTCTGCGGGTGTTTGTGCTCCCCGCGCACGCAGCGCCTAATACTGCTGGGCAGTCGCTGGTCCCCCAGGACCCAGCTCTTCCCGGAGCGGCCAACGCCAGAGCGCTAGGCTGGTGGCTGCGGGCGACTCGCGCGGTCCTGGCAGTGGCGATGCGCGCGGTGCGCGGTCCTTGCCGGGGGCTTGGGACGCGCTGCAGGGACCTCCCGCCCTTTGGAAGCTGGTGCACTCTTCCCTGGGGCCAAACGTACAGGAAGATTTCCTCATTTTTAACATTTCCTTTCGTTCCATGAAACCATTTTTGTTTAAGTGCTGGAGCTGAACGCGGTCCTTTCAGAGGAGGGCAGCACTCTCCCTCCTGGCCCCGACCTGGAAGCCCCGGTGTGACTTGAGAGCTGTTCGCGCATCAGAAGCGGAGCAGCGAGTTAGGAAGCCGCGCGCTGGCGGCCGGGCACGTTTCTTTCTTCGGAGGTGGCTCTTTTTGTTCGCTCTACTCACGTGAAAGCCTTCAGCTTTGTTTTTACAACACACGATTTTCATTATTTTAGGCCTTGTTTGTTTTTACAAATGTTTTACATTTCACTCATTAAAATAGGGAGGGGGAAAATGCCGGTAGTACTTTGGGGGTAACACCTTCAGGCAAGTTGTATTTTATAGACTAAGTGATTTAAAATTCCCTGTTTTTTAGTATCAGCTACATTTAAGACATGGAAATTTATGGGAGTTACCTCCATTTTTATTTTATTTTATTTTGTTTTATTTTAGGTGGTTTTCCATTACAAGGAGAGAAGCCAAGGTAATTTTCACGCAGAGGAAGAATGATGTAGCTCCCTTGAAACTTTTTGGTACACTTAACAGGTAAGTGAATCTGCTAATTATAAGTTCTTCCAGAAACGAACCTTTGTATGGTCTGAGTTATATTTTGTTACATTTGTTTTTATATCCATGTTTGAACTATTTCGCTTTACTCTGAATAGTTTGATTAATAACAAGTTGCTATTTTAAGAGATTGATACTCTAAGTAATACAATAATTTCACTCCTCTGCATCCTTCTTAGTCACCTTTTGAAGGCTGAATTAAAGTACATCACACCTTAATCTACATTAAACTTTCCAAAATGTTTAGGATTTCTGTCTTTTCAGAGTGGCAAGTGTCTTAAACCAATCATACAGCTAGAAGAACTTTAGACCTCTTTTAAAAATGTTCACTTAAATAAGAACATTTGTTTTCTCATTGATAGTTGGGGGAAAATACTGAGTTTTGGGAGGTATTCACCCTGTCATCAAATGGTACCCTAATTTTGCCCATGCTACCAAATCATTATGTAAGCAAAATGGTTTAGGAAATAGGAAAATAACCTTTCTTTCTAACTGGTAACATCTAAGTGGTATACTTTCTAGAACTCCTTAAGGATAGTACCCTAATGAATTATATGCTTGGTTTTAGTCTGGGGACAAATGTAAATCTCTGGAACATTGTTTTCGTTCTGCTCTTGTAACCAATAATTTTGAGTTCCTCTGCCATAAGATATTTTGTTACATCTGGCCAGGACAAAATTTAAAGAAAAATCCCCAAACAAAACAAGAACCTTGAGGACATAATTAATATTGCAGTGTAACAAAATGAAACAGGAACTTGTGTTTATGCATCCTAGCTTCAGCAGAAGAATCTTTTATTTTTTTTTAGTTTTCTGATTGAGTAGACATGAAAATGAAAATAGATAAGCTATGCTCAGCATATATATATATATATATATATGCACACACACATTTTATTTTATTTTTCAAGAAACTCCCTTACTGTTCCCTCTTTAACACATCTCTATGATGTGTTATGAGGTCTTACTGATGATTTTGCATTTTTTAAAAAACTTTTTTTACACTCAGTAAGATAAAGTTATGGAAGTCATAGCATGTGGTACGATTTGATTTTGCACGATGAACTGCCTTGTACTAAAACAAGGGAATGTGTGGAGTTTTAAAAGGGATAGTATTTGAGTTCATAGTAGAAAAAAAATCAGCTTGGTGAAAAATTAATACAAACAAAAATAACTCTTCCCAAATTCTTTTCAGAATAAAAAGTCAAATGGCTAAGAAGCCTAAATAATTCAGGGCCAGTTTTAGGGGCATATGGAAGGGTTCTTATCTTGGGTCTTGTGGTGTTTAATGTTTCTGAGAATGACTTGGACCACATAGAAGAGAAAGATGTCGTCAGAACACCACCTAGACCATAATTATCAAGCCCTCAAGATAATATTAGAAAAGATTCAAAGTGAACTTTGTGAAACAGAGAAGCTGTATATAGGGGATTAAGGTCCACTTGGGCAAAGGCAAAGTTATAGGATGTTTATGTTCTAAATTAAGCTATTATTGTAGCCAAAAGGGGAGAGCTGTCCCATGGAAGCTGGATTTGTGTGGTGATCACAATGCTATGGAATCCCAGTATAGAGATGGAGTGTTGCCAGGGAGCTGAGAGGCCCAACCAGGGAGCACTAGCTTAGGAAAGTTATCATTTTCCAAGGACTTGCTCCTTTTAGAGACTCAGGCCATGGACATTTTTTCAGCAGAGACCTTCACCCAGACCCTCAAGACACCAAAGAGAGAATTGAGAAGAGAGCCAGTAGGCTGTTTTCAAGCTTTGCAGACAGAGGCACAGCACTGGTGTATGCTTATAATCATGGAAACCCAGCAAGGAGAATTAATTATTTGATTTAAGTATTTAATAGCATTAGGGTTTAAGAGTTTTGCAGTAGGGATATGCAAAACTTAAATCCCCCATCCTTCATGGGCTTGGCCTGCCAGTTGCTCATTCTATTTTTCTTGCCATCCTGTATTTTTTTTTTTTTTTTTTTTTTTTTTTTTGCAGTTTTTGGCCAGGGCTGGGTTTGAACCTACCACCTCTGGTGTAGGGGGCCGATGCCCTACTCCTTTCAGCCACAGGCACCGCCTGCCATCCTGTATTTTACTGCGGTTCACTGGGGGTTATTTTCTGCCTCTATCTTATCCTGGAAATGTATCCAGGTTTTCACATCCTCCCCTACCTGTGCTCTTGGGCCCACCTGCTCCTGTCTCCCCACTTCTGGCCCCTCTCCTACCTGCTCTGTCCCAACTCACTGTCACTACTTGAAGCTGCTGGTCTCTGCAGTCTTCTGTCTACCTGGGAGCTTCTTCCTTCTCATCACCTACCAGGGAGCTTCTCCTCACCCTCACCTCAATCCTTAGAGGGCAGCATCCTTGTGTGGATCTCTCTAGCCCTGGGAACCACGGCCTGGCACCTGTGAGCCACCAAACAAAATAATGAATGAGTTAGTGAGTGAATGAATAGAAATGTGAGTAAGGGGTATCTCCTACCTGAAGGCGCATCTGTTGATTCTCTCAGCCCTTCCCACATTCTTCTTGGCCAGCATACGTCATTACATTGTCATCATAATTTGTGCCGGGGTCTCTTGAACCTATTTCTGAGCTGGGTACACACCTTTCCTAGGAGAAACTGTGTAGACACATAACCATGGGTCCTTTGCAGTTCTATGAGTCAGTGAAACATAACTACCAAATACCATTAAAAAAGTAGCTGAGTCAATCTTTTTTGGAATGAATGGGTGTTTTAGGTAAATAATAACATAAAACTAACATGAAGTAACTTGGCGAAGTTTGTATTTCCTACAGCAGCCTTTTGGGGACGTATATTAGATCTTTAAAATATAAGATTTTCGGTGGGTAGAATGAGATGTGACAGAAAGTCTTTAAGCTCCTAATCAGAGTCAGCTTTTACCTCTTCAATTTTAATTTAAGTTCCTGAGCCACAATTGGTTTTCAGCAGAGGAGGCTCCTCTAGGAATTTCATGCGGGCTCCAGAGTGGGTTGTGGGTAATGTGTGCCTTCCAGCACCTGTTCACGTCTGCCTAGTGACTGATACTTAATCAGATCTTGTCGCTTGTTGTCCTCTCTTGTTTTGGGCTCTGCTACTGGGATTCCCTTTCCATTGCATTAGATTCTCACCTCCCAGCCTGTGCTTCAAGGCCTTTTCCTCCCTGTCCTGCTGTCCCAGATCTGCAGTGCCTCCCTGTTCCTCCCAGTCTTCCAGAATCTTGATACGTTTCAGGACTCAGCACGGAAGGTCATGGGTGACAGGGGGACTGAGCTTCAGCCTGGAGTGGGACTGGACCATTGTGCCTCCCTGTCTGTCACCTTATGTTCCCTGTTGTTTATAACTGTTTATTGCTTAGATATGTGTGTTTTGGCCACAGTTGTCCTCAAAGAGGCATGATTGCTGCATTTTTACCATCTGGCATATGCTTGTTCATGTTCATGTTCATATTTGCAAGCCAGTGTTTGAAGGAATTTCTGGCTTCTGAAAACCCCCATCAGAACCTTGCAGTGTCAGTAATTTCTTCTGCTGCTTGCGTGACAGCTTACCTTTCTTCTATTCCTTCTTTCTTTGTGACGTTTGTGTTTTCCATACTCCTGTGGAGGTTAGAGACCTGAACTCAGGCACTCTGACTCCAGACTTATGCTGCTTAGCGTGTTAAATAAATTGCTTAAAAGTAAGTCAAAGAAGGTGGAAGGAACCTCAGTGTCCCTCGACAGACAACTGGATAACCAAAATGTAGTATATATAGCCATACAATGGAATGCAATTCAGGCTTACAAAGAAAGAACATTCTGACAGATTTTACAATATGGATGAGTCTTTATGACATGAAATGAGTGAAATAAGCTAGTCGCAGACAAATACTGTCTGATTCTACTTATACGAGGTGCCTAGAATAGTCATGTACAGAGAGACAGTGGTGGTTGACAGGGGCTGGGGAAGGGGGAATAGAAAGTTGGTTGTTTTTTTTTTAATGGGGATGCAGTTCAGTTTTGTAAGGTGAAGAATTCTAGAGGTGAACAGTTGCTCACCAATATCATTGTACTTACTGTCACTGAATCGTACACTTAAAAATCAATGTAAACATGATAGATTTTGTGGTACCAAAATTAAAAACAAAACTCACATAGGTATGGTTTTCCACTTTAAAATAAGAAATAAGGCACAGAGATATTGATTTCTTCTCCTTTTTTTTAGTTATATCGATTTTTTATTGCGGATCTGGGCCTAGAACCTAAATCTCCTACTTGTGGGTGTGTGATCTTATTACAAGCAGCCACAATTTTGCTTTCAACTTTTATTCTAGCTTGAGGTTAGGGTTAGAGAGTTCAGGCATAACTTTTTTCTTTAAGAGACAGAGTTTCACTTTATTGCCCTCGGTAGAGTGCTGTGGTGTCACAGCTCACAGCAACCTCCAACTCCTAGGTTTAGGTGATTCTCTTGCCTCAGCCTCCCAGGTAGCTGGGACTATAGGTGCCCACCACAACGCCTGGCTATTTTTTTGTTGCAGTTTGGCTGGGGCCGGGTTTGAACCCGCCACCCTCGGTATATGGGGCCGGTACCCTACTCACTGAGCCACAGGTACTGTAGGGCACATCTTTGCAATGTGTTGCCATGCTGTTCTTCCTTACATATATACACTGGTCTGATGCTCTTTCTCATCTACAGAATTGGGCTAATAACTTTTTTGTTTTGGTGTTGTGGCTATTGCTGGGCTGGTCCCATATGAGAGTATAGAACCTCGGTGCCAGTCCTTATGAGCTGTGCAAGCCAGCACAAGCTACTCGACCCCTCTGCGTTTCATTTTGTATGGAGAATGAAAAGGATGGTGCCTCTTAGGGTTGTTGTAAGGACTGAGATTCACATCTGTGAAGTACCTGGCATGTAGTAGTTATGCAATAAACTATTCCCAGTATTAACTCACCTGACATAAATTTTTACAGTATTCTGCAATGGAAAACCAAAAATCTCTGGTTACTGTTTCCTT